GACTACTCAGACTAAAGGAAAACTAGTGCAATCATGTTTAATTGCATCTAACAACAGAACAATTAAAACTAATTTTTATTCCTTTAATATTTTTTCCAAACTCCTTCTATTTGCTGTCTTCCCACCACAACAAAACATCCAGTGGTTACTCCTGTAAATCACCATCCTTACACTGCATGAAGCAAACTTCGTATCGGTTGACCCATATTTACACTGAAGCATGCAAAGGAGGATACTGCAAGTATTTGCAATGCAAATCTATTAAATACATTATAACTGAACAACAAGGTGTCCCTTTAACACTGCAACTCTATAGCCTTTATCTGTGGTGGAAGTTTCCAGTGTATGAATTATAAAACAGCGTACAATTCAGAAACAGAAACAAAGAAATTTGCAAATTGTTTGTATTTTCAACTATTAAATCTTTGAGAGCTGTGTCTAGCGCCGAAACCAAAGCCAGCTATTGAGTAGCCAGAAAGCTACAGTAATTGAATACATGATCATTTCCCTTTTAGCACGCTCTTTGTTTTCTTCTTCCAGAAGTTGTAGACGGCGATTAAGTTTGATTATCTAAAAATAAATAAAAGTTTTAATACTTAATTAAAAGTTGCCAGACTTTTTAGAAGATTCTGAGTCACGACATAAAATTAGTATCTCAGACAGATGGATTTTAAACACTTGATAATTTGACTTCCTATTTTCAATCACTAGTGATCAGATCTTGCTGTCCCTAAACAGTAGGGACAGAAATGGAGCCGGACTCTCCATATTCCCAGAATAATACAGGATATGTGAGGACAGTCCAGCAGGGCTACAGAGAGGATTCCTCCCCATATAGGTTATGGATACCTTTGCAGCCACACAGAAAACCTGTTCCCCCATTTTACAATGACAAATTTTTCTTAATATTATCAACTACTATACTTTACATACCTGTCTTCTTAAGGAAGCAGCATCTACAACTGTCATGTCATCTGGCGTTCCCTCAAGCGTAGCATCCAAGTTGGAAAGACCATATCTATCAAATAAGGGAGATACCATAGCTGTCTCATCCATGCAAAGATTAGCAAGTATCATATTTTATCAACATTCTAATAGATGTATTTTTTGGTGGTGATGAAGAATTATAAAACTTTTTTTCCAGCTTTTACAGAGTTGTCTATTTCAATAGGATCCTAACTGAATAAAGTGCAAACACACATGAAGTGGATACGTGCTTGACTGAATCTGGGTTTATTGCTCTCCACATTTAAATCTTTTTGAAGAGTCTCCAAACAGACAGACTTCTTGCTGTCGCCTGGTCTTTCAAAAGACTGTTTCCAGTTATTTAACTGGTTAATGAAACCTGAAAACTGCCTCAGCTAAAATGCCAAAGTCACAGGAGATCTGGCAACTTATTAGAAATAACCAATTGAAGACTTGGAAAGAACTGGGCGTCTTACGCTCGGTACCTAAATATCTCAAGTGGACACCTACTGAGATTCATGATCTCAGTCAAATCCATCTCAGTATTTCAGGCAGAGATCCTTGCAAATAAAGAGCCTAGTGTGTAGTCACTGCTTGCTGAACTTTGCACACATTAGAAACTTTGTCCCCAGAGCAGCTCTCAGTATTCTTAATGTAGCGATTCAGAGAAAAGCATTATTCTGACTCCAGGGCAAGTTAATTATATACAAGATATTTATTATCAGTTGGGAATTGGCAGAAAATATACATAAAGTATGTGTTTTGATCATCCAAATGCTACCTCTTAACCAGATTAATTTCCAAAAGTAGTTCCTATTGCTACACCTGCCACTGAGTTTCTCACTCCCTATCTTAAAACCTCAGTTTCCAGTATTAGTTCCCCTTGACTTGCTTTCTCATTAGGACATACAAGCAACTGCTGCAAACAGCTCGGGAAATTGAACAAAATAATATCAAGGCTACCAAAATCACAACAAAATACACCTAGAAGGATGTTCAGCATTTAGTGACAGTTAACGGTCAACTTCAACATAAATATGAGCAGAGTTCCTAAAGCTTGCAGAATGCACTTCAGTGCAGATACTACTTTTGCACTGCATATTCTTTCCTCACTTAAAGCAAATTTCTACAGAATACTCTCAGCTAATACCATCCAGCAAGATTTTCCCCCACCCCAACAGACAACTTGTCAAAAATTTCCCTGTATCATTGTTCATTAATATATTGTTTCTAAGTAAGAATCACTGTTTCTAGATGAGAGCTGCATTAGTCTGGACTTAAATAAGTGAGATCCTTGAGCAACACTGTATAAAAGTTAGGAAGCTAATTACATTTTGATCTGTGGGTTTTTTGAGTTGAAGGGTATACAGGGAGGGGGAAACCTTTTACAGGTGAGATCAGGATAAAAACAGCATTTTGTAAGGGAATAGTCAAGCAATTGTCAGAGTAATAACTGTTTTAAAAACAGTTTTGGCAACTCCTTAGAAGATGATTTTGTCATTAAGGATGTTACTAATTTTTTATTTTAAGGAGACTTCAAACATTCACTTAACTATAATTCATGCTATTTACTATTTGCAGTTCATTCAGTTTGGGCAATATTAAAAAGATTGAAACTGGTTTTTGGTTTATTTCCTCAGTGCTGTGAAGCTCACATTAGTAACTCAAAGGTGTTTTTTTTTAAATAAACCTAAGTTAATAAAACTATTTGAACAGTTCTACTCTTAAAACAAGTCTGCAGCTTTGTACACACAAAAAAAAATAATCAGGTTTTTCTTACTACTGCAGGCCGTCTGACAGCCAAAGAGATTTCTCAGGTGGGTCTTTCTATAGCCATTTTTTAATTTGTAGTAGATTGTAAAAAAAAGTTAGAAAATTACACCAGATCCAGAGCATAGTTGTCCCTCACCATCTTTTGAGAAAAGCAGAGAGGGTCATCATTTCAGTGAGATGGGCACACCTCCCTTCCAGGTCACATAAATTTAATATAAGGTCACAGTACATCACTGCTGCTCTACCAGCTTCCATACTACTCCAGGTATTGAATCAAGAGGGTTACCAGCAATAAATCCCTTGAAATAATCTCTTGAGCCATTACAAAAACTGAATTCCTGAGTTAGAGAAGACTCACGTGCTTGAATCCAGTGTCTACTTAAGCACAAATGTAATCTCCATTTTGGTGAAAACACAGAAGTGTAGTGGCAAATGGGAACAACAGATGTAGTAGGGACTTTTTTTTTTTCCATCCTGACCATGAGATTATGTGTCAAATTTACATCCAGTTCCACTGAAATAATGTCACTCTCCCAAGATAATGGCAGTGAAAAGGAATCTACAACTAACACAACAATCCACAACTAACAACTTATCACAGGCATGCTACTGAACACCTGGAAAAAGTGTAATGCAAAGCCAGATATTCTAGCAATAAAAATATGAAACTTACTACTAAAGAGAAAAATACTGCTAATGTAATTTAAGAGCCTCCCTTCACACATTACTTTGAGTCAGAAGTCTGCAACACATTGTATCTATTAGACAAGCAAAGTCTTTGCAGGTGGCTTGGATAGGCAAGGAATAAAGGCCTGAAATACCTTAAGAGTTGAGAGGGAGGATATAAATGAGTATTGTGTTTCAGGATAAGGACACTAGAAATAGGGAAACAGAAATCTTGAATTTTACAATCTAAATTAGTGGATCATGACTAACAAAAAAAATACTCTTTACCTGGTGTTGTCATGATGAGGGTTAGAGGAAGTGGTAGCAGCTGACCCACCACGTAACACTGGCCTACAGCAGGTTTGTGTAGATAGGAAGCACAAGACAGAAACAGGAAATGACAAACAGAGATAAGAGGTAAAACACACAGAACAAAGGAACATCAAAGTACTTCCACTTTCAATACCATATAATATCTATTTATTTTGTTGTTAGTTGTTCTTTCATATTTCTTATTCAAGTTTAATCAACACTGACTGTTTATGCAGCTAAGACATAGGCAAATTTCTGATGATACAGCTTTACTTATGGAAGACAAACTGCTGGAATATATTCGGGCAGAGGTTATCAGACTTATAAAATAAGCATGGAAAGCTTCAGGATTTAAAAAATAAAATTCCCCCCCAAACCAAACCTCACCAAAAAACAATGGAGAAAAAAATATACATCTACACATAAAAGCCTTTTTAATCACCCACTTCTCCCTCTAGGGAAAGAGGAGATTTGTCTTTTCTTTTTTCATCTATGCTAGATGTAATTCAGAAGACCTGGGCTAGTTGCCTAAGGCCCATATCTAGTCTGAAGAGAGGTAGATCCCTCCAGGAAGAAGTGACTAAAAGCTTCAAGTAGATGGTACAAACATCCTTATTAAGTGTTGCCCTTTTTATTTTTTTTTTATTTTTTATTTTTTCCTAGCCAGAGAGGAAGAAAAAGTACACTTTTTAAGTTGCTGCAACTATATAATATACATGAACTTTAACATAAGGAGTTACTGTGTCCCAGTTTACAGAAGACATGAATACCAGCAGTACCTTCTGACAAAGCTGGTACTATGTGTTTTCAGTACCTCTGGTAATGAGGCATTAGTGTTCCACATCTATGATGTGTAACAAACTGTTTAAGAGCCTGAAACCTTTTTTTGTTTTCTTCTATTTTTTCCAATGCCAAGAGGAAGTATTTTTACCATGCATTTAACCTATGTATACTTCAGGCTATAAAATTAAAGACAAAGAGAATCTAGTTATGAAGATCTTTACGGCTGGTACACGTAGGAGGCAGAGGCTTTGTGCTGAGGTCATTGGGAGAACACTATGGCCTGGCCTAAAACCAAGCAAGATCCATTCAAAAATATCACAACCACTAGTTTCATGTAAAAGGATCGGGACCTAGGAGCCTTAGCAAATTCTGCTACTCAGCACAATACTTACTGGGACTAGGTCTTACTCTAATCAGCACCATAAGGGCATACCACAACATTTCTCCATCTAGCACATAGATGTGTTGTATAAAACAGAAACTCCCATTCCCAATACATACAACAAAAGAATATTCTTACCTAAATGCATGAGATCTTGTAGAAAGTTATCAAAAAAGGTATTCCTATTTTTTAATCAGAGAAATAATTCAGCTAGTCTAAAGTCTTGTCTGACAGATGCTAGAACTAAATACTTTCAAGAAAGCATAAGAAATTCAGCAAACAGCAGCTATGAAAAAGGTCACAAAATTTCTCTGTGAATGTAAGTCACCTGTAATTAGCTAGCAGATACCTGAATGCCAGCTTGTCAGTATCCAGACAGGCATTTCCCATGCCATCTGACACAGGACAACAACATTTGGATTTTGTGTAATGAGAACAACAGATCTCAAATGTTCTCTAAATTCTTGGCCTCTTGGTAGTTTGTGACAAACAAAGTTGTAGAACTAATCAATACTAACTACTTCACGCTACCATTCCCAAGGAAAACCATAGGCTTGGAGGTAGCTGAGGGCTACAGCAAAGAACAAAACTCTGGGATCTGTGCAAATCAGGAATTTAATCTAAAAACAAGTCTTTAATCCCACTTCCCAACACAGCCAGGCTGTTAAGAAGCTGCACATGACTTTTTTTTTTCAGTTCACACTTTATTTCTTTACAGGTGTACCCAAATGGATCACCAGAATATTCCCCTGCCTCCTGCATGCTTTTTACTTGCTTGTTTTCACATATCAACAAAAAAAATTGTTATATAACTGAGATCACCTAACCCCAAAATCAGCAATAAGTGTTTTGGTAAATACAGAATGCACAACTATAATACAGTCAAGCTATTTAATTCATGGCCGCCTTTAAAAAACTGAGTAAGAGTACATTAAAACTTCGAATTTTCTGGCTACTTCTCTTAATTCCATCCTAAACATTAACACATGACCAGAAGCAGCCGTAACTCTGAGGCTATGTATACTAAACACTATTTCACTGCAAATACAGTGGCAGCCTGAAACATGAAGGGAATGCACAGTAGTGTAATTGAGGAACAGTGGGAAGACAGGCAATAAGGCAATGACCAAATGACTGTGGTGTCTTCCGCTGCTTAGAGCACAGCATGTAGTGCAAATACCAGAGTAATAATGCAAATGGTCTGGGAGGAAAGCAACAAGGTGTGGACAAACTAGGTACCTGGGTCCCACTTCGATCATTCCTGCGCATGTTCATTCCTGAGGCCAGCATGTTCTCTATGTTCAGCAGAGGTAGCAGCTAGGTTCACCTCTCACTGTACTTTAAAACACCTCTGGAAATCTCAGGAAGGCTGTAAGAAAGGGCACTAGGACTTTATGGATATGTTCTGGACTTTAACTGGGAAATAAGTTCAGCTTCTTAAATACAACCCTTGTGGTGCGTTGAAGAATCAGTGACGATGAAACTGGTTTCCTCACTTGTCTGGGTGCTATAAGTGATTACTTCAATAAAGCAATAGGCTACTGCTTTCCCCAGGCTCCTTCACACTTGCAGAACTCATTTCATTTTCTTCTGAATTATACTCTCCAAATCCCAAGTCATGTGTAGTCCTCTTCAATGGTCTTAACTCACATCCCATTTTATTTCTACCATGAAAAATACAATTAACTTGGTCAATAGAAAAATGGATCTTAACACCTCAGGATATGATTATGTGGGTGAAATTCATCCTTTAAGAATGTTAGTAGCTTTTTAGAAAGGACCACCCTGAAGAAAGGAAATAGTAATCAATTGCTATACTTTTTTCTCCTACATAAAAGCTGTAAAGAGATGAACAGTTCAGATAAAGTACAGATTTCAACACAACTCTATTCAGCTATGAAACTGCCTTTTTTCCTGCATGTAAGACATCACTAAAATCTCCTTAAATGCAGGGGGGCGGTTTGGTTGTTTTTGTTGCCTAGAGCATAAAAGATCAGTCTTTAAAAGATACTAAATATAAGCCCTACAGTCATTTGACAGAAGTTGAAACAGAAAAAAGGTTAGAACTGGAAAACAAAACTGACCTATTGTCCTTGTCCAAGCTGAAGGAAATGCAAGAGTAAACAGACAGTGTAAACAGTGATCATTAAGTTGTTGCCCACTTAAATAACTTCTTATGTGAGCAGTGCTGGCTAAACTAGGCATAATTCATTATCTGCAGCAGTAGAATTAGCACCTACCGTTAGCAGTTTTAGTAGATTGGAAAATACTTTGGAAAAAAAGCAAGCCATGAAGCAAGTTAAAAATATTTCCAGTGAGTAACACATTGTCAGAGCTTGTTCATTTTAAAAGATCTATTCTAGTACAAAGCATAAAATGTTAAAATAGATAAGGTTTTGAGGTAGAAAGCACATTACACAGAGCAAAAGAACAGAGTGCAGGTTTGGAGCAATTTAAGATGAACAATAATTTGCAACCATGCAAGTGGATCATCCAAATTTCACATTCCTACGCCAGCTCTCAAGTAATGGTGGGTATCTAAACACCCAATCACAAAGAATACACTTTCACCTTATTGAAAAGTTCATTATTTTAGCACCTATTTGTTCATAGGTGACTAGAAACAGGTTTCCTGTTTCTTCTAGGAAGGTTAGTAAGAACACATCAAAAATTAACCCAAACCAGGAATGCAGCATTTGAAATATTCAGAATCATGTAAGTTTTCTGATAATTGAAGTTGAAAGTGTATGTTTTCCAGAATCCAAGAAAACATGGGCAAAAAAATACCTAATGGAAGTCAGGAATAAAACCTGTTAGGCTTCACTGTAGAGTGGGGAAAGGGCTAGAATTTCAGTCTGTATTTTAACAAGGAGTCTTGGCACAGTATCTGTAGGTGCTATTATTCACAGACAGTAGCATTCCTCCTTATCTGGAAGTTTTATTTTTTTAAAACAAAACAAACTCTTAATTCCATCTGATTTTTAATATTGAGAAGGATAATACTGAAAAGGTACTGCTGTCCAACTGTTGACAGACATCAAAATTTTAACAGCTACAGCCTGAAATTTCATAGGATTGCCAGGGTTAAGCATCCAACTCATTTCAAGGGGAACTATGCAGCTAATTTGTTTTGGTTTGAGTTTTTAAAATTTATTTTAATTTTTGTGGGTTTTTTCTGGTTTGGGTTTTTTTTTTTTGTTGTTGTTTTGGTTTGTTGTTTTGTTTTTGTCCCAGTTTAGAAACATAAAGGCCAGCAAGACTGGAGTTCTCTACGATTCAGGAATGTTAATACTGGCATTTATATACTGTCAGGCCAGCAAACATGGTGAGCTACAGGAGGTGCCAGTTTGAGAGGTGATTGCAAACACACAAACATTCACAATAAGATTGGCTTGATAGTCACATTTTATTACCAAAACAACTTGACAGCACAACATTTAACTTCACACTACAAAATATTAAGGAATGCTACTGGGATTATCAGCAACCAGAGGCAGATGGCAAATTTCAAAAAACTTCCTGGCACAGGTCATGCTGAAGGGCTACAGGAGGAATGAGCAGTTCCTCCCAACATTCTTGCCAATTATCTCCTCTAATTTGACTTCTTGGCAAGCCCTAGAGGTCTCAGCTAGCCCTACACTAGAGACTGCGTGCAATTTTTACCTGAACCTCTGTGCTAGCATACTATTGCAATAAATATTGGTTTTGGTAAATCAACCGTGCAGTTATTAACCTTTATAAATGTTTAGAATTAAACACGCCATTCTGTAACACTTGGAAGTGTCAAATCAAACCAGTCCGAGGATACATCAAGTGGGCAAAACTCTACTAAAGGGAACTGAAATACTATACAATGATTGCTATGAGGCTTGTTTTGGATCGTTACCTCTCAGAGCATCAGCTTATACATAAAACCAGAGACAGCACCAATCAAAGGAGCAACCAGCTTCTCAGTATACATTGCCTTTCTTGCTCTCAGCATCAGTCACGTACCAACCACAGATAACTATTCCCAGTACAAACTGAAACAGCATAAAGTCTTGACGTATTATCAAAAGCAGTGTCTACAATGCCTTGCATAATATTCTATCCTGCTTCCGCAAGTTTGTTTTAATGCTTTATGACAACATCAACCCAATCTTATTGATTTGCACCATTGCTCACCAACAGAAAAGCAGAAGACAAAGCTAATAAATTTGCAGGCTCAGGGTCAAGTTTTAATCCCAGAAAACACTGACAATCTGGGAATAGCAAAATCCCTTGCAGTCACAGACTAACACTTCCTATTTTGATTTTTATTTGGAAGGAAACCAAAACAACACTATATTTGACTGAAACAGAAGCATTTTGAAATGTGAATTTTGGACAATTAAATTGCTTATGAATAGTGAAAGCAAAAGGAAAGCAAAAGCAAATAATTTCATCTCATTATTTTGTAAACAGAAACCAAACTCCACTAAAAAGGAGAAAAGAAAAAACAAAGCAGCAAAAGCTGGCAGAGTCAGTGACAACCAATCACCTGCGGTTTTCATCCAGCACATCCAAGACCTGCTGGTAAGCCCTACGAGTGGAAGACTGGATAAACGACAAAATGCCACGAGCAGAGTAAAGATTAGTTCCATCTTCAGGTAACATATTGGGAGGACAGACACGAGCCTGTTGCAGTGATGGTGTCACACTGTTTGTACAAGCATAGTAAATGAAGAGAGAAATACTATAGTCAGATTTTAAATTAAAAAAAGCTTTTCAGATAGACCCCATTCCAAAATGCTTATTGTTTGCTTTTGGTTTACCCTTCTCCCACCACTATAAGGTAACACTCCCAAATTCTAGTAGCGTAGGGATCATGAGCTACATTTATATTATGTTCTTCAGAAGCAAACCCAAGTAATAACCCAAGGACACAATTTTGATCTGTTACACAAGTTAGTTTTAGAAAGTCCTTGTCCAGCTAAATCTGTACCTGTTGAAGTCAGTATTCAAGTCCTCAATGACATCAATTAGAAAAGTGTTTTTACAAGCACTGGCATTTTTAAAAAGTCCTACACATAATCTATTTGCAAAACAAAAGCTTTTTTCAATAACGAGAATTTCACATACAGCCTCATCAACAATATTTTTCAAGCTGTGCCTAAAGATCAAGAGAGTCTTTTGATTTGCATGTGAAAGTTTAAAGGCAACTGCAAGAAATTCCAAAAAGAAGCACAGAATCCATATCCCAGTGACAACAATTTACATGATCTGACTTTTTGACTATGATGCAAAAATAATATTTAAAATACACAGGATTGAAATTCAAACATGACCATTTGGATTATACAAACCTCATCTCTATCAGATGGGAATTAGTTTTAATATACTACCTTTGATTTGCTTGTGTTTCTTTACATTCAGCTTGACTTTATCCACATTTTCCTTCATGCATCATGATGTTTTAATTTTTAAAGTTATTTTAAATCAAGAAACTTTAATTGAAGGTGAGATGCTTTTTTAATAGGAAGTAATTTTTGTTAACTTAGTTGCAAATATTAACACAAATGCAAACCAAGTGCAAGTCACTGTACCCTTTAAATCTTGCAGTATTTTTTATTCCAAGGTTAGCATCCACAATTCAACATATTTCCTTTGATCTTGCCACTTGTGCTTTGCTCCAACAGTTTTTGGATTTAGAATGCCAATCTTCCTACTTCTGGCATTTTTAAGAAATTAAGCAAAGCATTAGTGGCTGAGTGCTTGGAAGCTGGTTTGATATTCAGATCATCTCTAGATGGGTCATAATTCTATGGCTACTCTTACTTTGAACAGAGTTGTTCTGCAACTGTCTGGCACCAAGATTACAAAATTGAATAAGAAAGAGAATTCAATCGAAAAAGACAGATTCAAAGCATGTTACACAGATGTCACCTCACCCACAGAAGAATTCAGCCATCCTGTGCTTCACGAGACATGTAAAGCCAGCAGTGGGTGGTGCTTGACTGATACTGGTCATTATTTATTACCTAAATTTCACGTATCTTTTCATGATGCTGTAAAGTACATTTGGATAAGTAAAAAGGAAAAGGACACATCAATAAACATTTATGTCACTTCCTTATAGCTTTCTTAGTGCTCCAAGACTTGTAAAATCATCTTTCTTTTATATTTATGATGACATGACTTTGTTATCAATGGTAGTAGTCATGGCCACACATTTTACTCTTGAATTGCATCGGAAATGCTGATATTCACTAGAAAAAAATCAAGAAGCAGGGGCAAGTATGGAAATATTGCCACTAAAGTGTACTATGAGAATCTCTACTCCTTTGTGGATTTGCCAGCTTGAGGGAAATGGGGGAAGAGCTGAAGGCTTGAACTCATAGTATGTTCTATATTGAAAATTATTTTTCCTGTTCATCACTTCAGAGATTTACAGAATAGGCTGAAAGACAGCTTAAAAAAAAAAAAGGTAACAAATAGTATATAGACAGATTGCAAGATAGAAGATACTGTGGAATTCCTGTTGTCCAGAATGGTATTACTGTAAACACCACAGTAATGTTATTTGCATATAAACTCTTTTTGTAGATACTGAAAAAAATCCCCCCAAATCTATTTAACTAAAACTGCACGAAATTCTCTAGAAGAATGGTACATGTGCTGATTAAATGCAAAGTGTATATAATAAGGAAAAATCAAGGAAAGCTCCAGACCTAGATAATTCCTAACCCCATGTTATGTTCTTTGTTTTATAGGTGGCTTGTAAGAAAAGGTAGTTTCAAGAGATTACTTCATTCATTTCATTATTTAATTCTTACTTAAGAGAATATTTAGTTTCTTAAATGATTTAATTATTTAAAAAATTTAAAACTATTTGCTCCTGAATGTGAGCGAAACTGTACAGCTACATGAAATTACTCAAATTTTCGCCATAAAGGCTATTGCTAATTTCAATATGCCTCTAAAGTGCATAGCTTGAGAGAGATCTCTCTCTTCCTTTCTGTCTGAAAGTGAAAATAATTCTATGAAGGGCTCAAATGTCAGAATTAAGGAATGGGGAAGGATGGGGAACAAATAGAAAGCCAAATTTTTCTTCTATCTTTTTTTCAGGGTTCAAAATTATTGTCCTGTAAACACATGGTAGTCCTTTGGACTGTCAGAGACCATAGAGAAGATTATAAAGCAAATATATGATATACAAATCAGCCAAGATGACATAAGAAAAAAAATCTCTAACGTCAGGAAAATTCTCTAACATTTTGTATGATTACTTATCATGACACATTGTGGCTATCCCCCTTTTTCTCCTCCATTTCTTGTTAAATGGTCTTAATCCTAGGTATAATTTTGTTTCAGATTTCTGAAAAGAGTTCTTATATATAGCTCCAGCCACTTATTTTAGCACTTCCTGGTTAAAAACATGTCAATTCTAGAGTTTGGAACCAAAACAAACAACATGGCATTACAGAAATTACTATGGAAGAGCACACTAAGATTCTACCATATGTAGAATTTTCAGTTTAGCAGTAATCTCCTCTAAATCTTCTCAAAGTACTTGTGATATACACAGGGTTTATTTCAGATTTTTCTCTGACTTACAGTTCTGGAAGTATCAAATGGGAGGTAAACAGAGATTTAGCTAATTAAGGTTACTTTAAATTCAACCACATTAATGAGAATATAGTCTGTCTAAAGATGTGCACACCATCACCTTTTCCCCCCACAACTTGCATAAAGAACAGAATTTCTCAAACTGTGAAATTGAACTCTGGAGATGTGTTCTTCTAAGGGAAAGGCTCAAGCAGAAAAAAATTAAACACTGCCCCCTTTTCCGTGCACTCTTGGTGATTTGCTGACTTCTGATGCAGAAGTGGAATCATTGCATTCAACACTAGCTGATAATGGCCAAAAAGCCTTGTTTCTCCAGTTATTCAAAACCAGCCAAAGAATAAAGAATCAAACAAACTAAAGCTATTTTGAGATTTAATTTTTCTTTACAAATCAGTTTTTAGTGGAAGCTGCCCCTTCCATTTGCTGCCACATATTTTTCCTGGTGTTGTTTAGAGGGAAACGATTGGCCAAGTTTGAGAAACCCTGAAGCAAAATTAGAAACCACACATTCAGTGTAGCTAAAAGGCTGTTTCAAATCTTATATTCTCAGCTACAGACACTTAGTCATAAAATTAGTATTGCAGAGCGCTACATAATTAAAACACACTTGATTTTCATATACCAGGTAACATTTAGGCTTACGTGCAATCCTTAGTCGAAAGAGGTGACTGGAACCTTGGCATTTTATTTCTTGGGACAGTATCTGATCTGTGCCACCTTGAATAATAATTGTAATCTCTTAAGTAATCATCCTTATAAATAGAGGGATTGTAGTTTAGAGAGCTATCATTATTGCTACACAGATAGACAGTTATCGTACAAACAGATGCCTACTTGTTAGTCTAGTTTGTTAAAAGCATTTGAGAATTACTGTCTTTAGTGAAGTTCAACTCCTGAAAAAGTCTCAGAACTGTCTCTGCATGCAACTGGATGACAAGAAGAGAAAGACAACAGAAAGAAACAACTATTTGTACCGTGTAGAGAACACTGTGATAGGGAGTCCAGCCAATTCTATCACTTCAATCTGACAAACTATTCCAGAATGTTTAATTTTGTCACTTTGTAGGTCAAGCACTGGAATTTTGCACCGTACATCTGAATATTTTGTCCAAGGACAATAACAGTGTCCTAGATTAAAACTTGAGTATTTTACTCCTATTTAGAAAACAAAGGTTGTAAAAGGCAATGCTCCACGTGCCTTTTCTATGGAGTCCTTATCATGGCATCTGAGTAGACTATCATGTCTATCAGTAAGTTCAGTCAAGGAGGTAAGAGAAACAAGCATTCAAAAAAACCTCAAAACAACAGTGTTGTTTGGATAGGAATGAAATATTTTAAGTAAAACTTGGGCTCTCTTTCCTGTTTGAAGATGTGAACCAGATTTGCACAAGCACAGGAATAAACAACCTGATCTTTGTCAAGTTACAGTCCAATAGTATTTGTTACTGAAGAAGTAAACTACTTAAACATGATACAAACTTAACAGTCAAGCCAGTTTTGATGAAGCAGCAATCTAACATTACAGTAATTAGAACAAAGATTTTTTTTTTTTTTTTTTTTTTTTGGTTTCTTGTGGTTTTGTACCACTGGAAAAAATATTATTTCTAGATGGTAAAGAAATTTCAATGTCATATAAATCAGGGAATAAGGTGTACAATTACATTTTCTGTAGTGCAAAAAATTCTACTACAAATGTATTAATCTACCTAAATGTTCTAATTTATCAACATGAAAACTAAACTTAGAAGATGTGCATCACATTTAGTACAAAACTCTAAGAAAAATAGTAGTCCATGAGCTAGGTGATACCCAGTACCATCTGAGGTAGCATAATTTACATCAATCAGGTCTGTTCACTTGTATTTTGAGCCATACAATAACACTTCCACATGGGTAGCTTCTCTAAGTAGCTACCAGAGTGAAAACAGAATGCCATGTTATCGATTTTGTTTGTAGAATCACTACTTCTGATTTTCTTTATATGAAACTCACTTTTTTTTTTTTCAGCTTACAGTACACATCCTGTGAGCCTAAATTGTGAGGAAACAAGAGCCAAGAGATACCTTTTTCACTAACTACACAAAGCTTGGCTTTCCTGCATTTGTGTGAGCCATATAAATTTCACCGTGAACACAGTGCTTCCATAATCTGAATTCACAGAACATTCTCCTGAGACTTAGGCAGATACACAGTCACATTCTCCACTTGGAGACTGACAAAACCTGGATGAGGGAGAAATGCCAGACTCAGCATCACAGAATACCACAACATGTTCAAAATTATTTCTTTTTTTGGATCTACTGAATCAGAAGAAGCAACAACAGAAAAAAAACAATTTCTAGGAACCTCAGTGATTTCAAAGCAGATCTACACATTAGGAACAGCATAACTTCTGTCATAAGAAAACAAGTGCCTTGGAGGACAAGAGACAAATGTTCTACTAAAATACATTATCTGCAGGTCAGCAAGTATTCAGTACTGCAAAAGAAAGATAGCTTCTTACACATGGGCAGCAGAGAACGCAGACAGAGCAAGCTATTAGCTAGCTATTGTTTTTCGTACAAACTAAAGAGCTCCTGGAACTATCTAAAGTTTAGATAATTTTCCTAAAAGATGCTCATAACGGAAACTGCTTGGCATCGAGGTTTGATTTATCTGACAGACACTATGCAGGCACTAGCATGTGCATCAAGAGAGGAAAACTAATCTCAAGATGATCATTTACAAAAGCCAGGAAATTATGACACAACTGAGTCACACAAGCTACCAGTACACTGATCACATTCTTTTTAAACTCACAGGATTCCAGGTGTGTATTGTTTTGCTAAGCCTCCAAAGGACTGTTAGTAGATTAATAAACTGTGACAGCATATAATATTCAGATCATTTAAAATCAGTAATTCTATACATAGCTACTGAGCAACAGCAATGCAGCACACTGTTGAGTTTTACAGATGTAGGATTTTCAGATTCAAGAAGTTCACACATAGGTGAGAAATCTGACAGCAACTGGGTATATCCAGCCATAGCTGCTCTTGCCAGCCTCTCAGATGGCTGGCTAGGCAGACACAGGCAACAACTATCAGAAGAAGGACCTAACCTGGGGAGCAAGGATAAAGCGATTTCTAGAAATTGCAAAAATTCATATACCATCTGTTTTTTCTCTAAGTGCAATACACCAAAGACTGGCAAAGCAGAGCTGGTAACATCAAAGGGGTAAACTTTTTCACAAGCAGTCTCTATCACATGAAGACCATCTATTCTAGCAAGCATCATGTGCAAACAATCAGACAGGCAAGCAAAGGCCACTCCTGCAGTGAAATTCTAGTATGTCCAGTCCAACAGGACATAACTGGGTGACCGATACCACAGTGAACTTGGGTACTTAGTAGGCTGATAATCAGACTTATGGTTCATACAAGCTTAAGTAAGAACAGGAAGATATGGAACAATATGTCCATGAAGATCTGGAGGAAGAGAAGAATTGTAACATGTCTGGAGCATGCATCAGAGTATTTTTCACTAGTTTTAGATGAACTAACAGGTAAACAGATATGTAGTACATATAGTACCTCCTATAGAAGGTACTATAGAAAACAGACATTTCTAGGACACAGTTCACTTTAATTTAGGCTTGATCACTTGATTTTATTTATAGGTAGACCTTAAGTAGGTCATGCACTTATTTTCCTCTAGTTACAGAAAATTAAGTTTATGGTGATTTAATAACAGTGTTAGATAGTCTACATTGGGACAGATAAATCCCATCTTCCAGGTCTTAAATCTAAGATCCTTTCAACATGGGAAAATATTCTTTATCATAGCTGTATTAGGAATCTTTTATATAGGATTTTTAAGTGTTACATTGCAAAAAACCTTATTGCCAGGTGGAAAGATGCTGTCACTAGAATAAACTATGATTAATCAAAGACTATCATATCTAATAAAAATATACAGACCTGTATGTATTCAGAAAGCAGCATAAGAAGTGCTACCTCAGATGGTAATAATCGATAAAGTTTCAAATTCTAAACGCTAATTGCCATTTTGGTCTCAAAAGATATATATACACACTCATAGATTTCAATATATTAAGTACATTGACACCAAAGAAAAATTACTTATTCTAATATTTATGAGGAATGACACTTATTCCTTCCTCTATGAATGAAAACCATTATAATATCAACAGTGAGAGAACCAGGAACATTCTGATGCACAAAGAATCCAATCTCCTGAAAATTCAGCCGGGGAAGTGGGGGGGGCAGGAATATACCAGCTCAGACACTGAAAAATCTCCTGAAGTAATAATTCACGGTAACCGGTGAAACCAATTGTGAGCCCACAGATGCTCCCACCCATCCACTGCAAGAAAAAACTTCACAAATGAGTCACCTCACTAAACAAAAAGCATAGAAATGTAAATATTAGGGTCAGCATTTTTCTTAAATTATGTACTTGCCACAGGATACAAAATATTAGTTGGAAAAAACAAATAACAAGGAGATAAGGAAGAAAGAAAATATGTAAGAAAGCTGTAGTTGTGTCCCTGCACCCTGTTGCTCTACTCACATGGAATCATTTCGGGCCAGCTGGCCATTCTGTCGAGTGGCGTTTTCACTCATGGAACGTTCTCTCTTCAGTCTTCCCACTGAGCGGACCTGTGTAAAAGGGGAGAAAGAGGGAGATAAAAACCAGGAAATTCCAGGTGATACTTGATAATCTGCACTGGAGATTTGTAAATTAGATCTGCCCTCAGATACAAAGGCACTTTTTCATGGGTTTCACAGTGATTAGGAGGAAAACAACTGATGACAGGATCTGATGCTGGTACTTGTAAAACCAAGGTCCAAACTTACTGCAATCCTGTTGTTATGTATCCATGTGATCTGATGCCAAAAGTATGAACAAACAGAACTACGGATATGTAAGAAAGCAATATTATGTTTAATATTACTTCCTATTACCAGAGATAAATATCTTTATACCATATTTTATGAATATATGCAGCTTCATAAATATTTTTCAGTTTAAGATGCCAGTTAAAATCATCCATGTGGATGGCAATGTTATACCATTCTTTGAAATCAGTTTTCAGAATTTTGCTAAAACTCACTAATTCTATGTGGTGTTATATCACCTGGCCATGAATTACAAAGGTTAACTATACACGTTAAAAGAACCTTAGTTTGTTTTCTGATAACCTGCAAATTAAAAAAAAAAATCTTGCAGCTTTCTTTTCCAAAAGGATTTTTGTTAAAAGTATTTTGAGTAGTTCTAATTACGATTTTATTTTCGTAAGTACCATGTAAGCTTACTGAGCATGGCAACCCCTAGACATCTGCCAGTTAAATATGGAACTTCAAAGTCATAATTAGAACTACTACTCAATATAATAATAATAAAAAAATAAAATATATTATTTGCTAATATATGCTAATAATATTTTTTTTGTTGTTTTCCCAACTTATGCTAGCACCAAGTAAATCTGCACCACAGTAGAGAAATCACTGGTCATTTCACTTTTTTTTTTTTTTTAGAATACGTCTCAGCTAAGGAAAAAGCAAAATAAGTACTAGCCTCTTCACTTTGAGGTGTTTGCTGTGGAGGTTTTTCTAGGTCCAAAAAATCTAGCGGTCGATCACTAAGAGAAATAACACGGGGAGGAGTTTTCAATGCCAGTGGTTTGAATGGAGTAGACTGAAGAAGGTCAAGGTCTGGTGGTCTGGAAAATGGAATGTCTTCACTATTACCTGCAAGAATATCAGTTGTCAATAGAAAGCAAGCTGTTCTGAGGCCTAAGGGCTAATGCTAAAGTTCAAAAAGACATCATAGCAGTTACTTCCCCTGACTATGCCAAATAATTAAGTATATCTTTCTTTAACAGGACTTGTATGTTATAAACTACGGTTAAAACTCTCAAAGACCACATTAATTGACAATTTTGGGAGCAGTTTCTCCAAGAACAATGATCCTGAGTAATCCTGAGCCACATCAACTGTTATTGCAATTGAGGGCACTTTTAATCTCAAGACATAGCCCTATTAAAGGTGCATTTGTTCAGAAATATGGTGACTGGGGATGTGAACATGTCACTCTTTCAAAACATAAAATATATGCATGTCAAATTTTGCAAATTTTAAGGCCTTCAGCAGTTCCAGGTCTTTCACTGTAAAGCCCATGACCATAAATACTAAAGTACTGATAGAGTCCACCCAACAACAGAGAGATCCTTAACATAATTTGCATTCTAATTATAAACAAACACATTTTGCATGGCTAATATATAGTACATCCCCAAAACCTGTTATGGTTACTTTAGCTTATAGGTAATTAAGAAAAATCACATGTAAATCAATAAACATTAAATTTTTTTTCTCCAGAAATGGTTTAGTAAGATGAGAAGTCAGCAGTTAAGCTTTCTGTTCAAAAATCATTTGTTATCTTCTCCACTACAAGCTGTATCAAAACTATTCATGTAACATTTTCAGAGTTTAAGAAACTTCTTAAGTTGATGAGCAATAATGGTTTGAAATCCAGAAGCATTTTACAGGTTTATCTTTTAAAAAAATCTATTAATATATATTTTTGTCCATTCAGAAATTTGGGGAACTAATTTAATTTTTTGCCTATTTTCCTTTTATTGAGATGCAGACATACCTGCCACTACAATCCGCTCTGGAACCTGCATAGTTACACTGGCATTTGGAAATCCTTCTTGGACACCCTTCTCAAGGTCAGCATTTTGAGGAGCTACTTTGAGTTTTTCTGGGACCCTCATGCGCTGACTGATTCCTTCGGTGTATTCCATTTCATACTGAAGGCGATTAATTTCTGCCATCTCAGCAGCTGGAGATGGGAATGCAGTCCCACTCATTCTGGCAAAAGAAAACCAAAAGCTATAATAGAAGTATAGGAAACCAGCAGAAAGCATATAAAGGAAATTATTTGTTCTGGTTACTACACAAGTGATAGATGATCATAACCGAACAGACTTATTTAGAGAAACAAATTATATGATACAATTCATAGGAGGTCACAAGGAGCTGACAGAAGAACAAAGTGATGCTGTAGGCAACACTCAAAGCTGCACTGAGGGTCCTCAAATTGAGCTGTGACAAAAAAAAAAGTTAGAAATTCTGCATGTGATGTAGAAATTTTGCACTGGTTGGCAGAAAAAGAAACACAAACCAACAAGAATTGGTACGATTGGTAGGATAGCTGAAATATTGGCAATAAATCTGAAATATTAATCTGTATTTACACTGATTCAGTGTACTGGCATTAGAGAAAAGGGATGAAGTCTTATGAAACTGCATGATGAAATAGGGGAATGAAAGAAAAGGCTTGGCTCAGGCAGCAGGCTTCTGCTTGCTGTCAGTCACCCAGATCTCACTCCATCTTACAATGATGAAGTTCCATATCAACAGGCTCTCAAATCAGCTGGAAAACCTAGCATATTCATAACCCATTCCCAATCACAAGCAATTCTGTAAACTTCTTACTTCCTAATTTTTCTGTAAATTAAAGTCTTAATTTTGTAGAGCAAATACAAGATGGGCAGAGAGAAAACAAGACTGTACTTAAGCTTAAAAGGGTTTGCCAATACTTTATATATACACTTTCCTAGAAAAGGAGGGGAATTTCATACGAAGCAGTGGGGACATTTCCTAGAAACCAGGCTCTGAGAAACTTACTAATACAGTAATTGCTGGGAGCTGTATTGAAGACAAAGAGCAAGATAACTGGGGTTTTTGAGGTTATGTTTAAGGTCGAGAGAAAAAGAAATCCTAGAGCTGCACTTGGAGGTGGGCTGGAAAGGGGCTGCTGATGGAAACTGTGGGCTGGAAAGGGAACTCGGATAGCTGGGAGAAGTTGTTCACCTGGGCAGCGGCTAGTGGACCTTGTCACTGGCTCACAGCAAGATTATGGTTGTGGGCTCAGTTAAAAGAGAGAGATAGCCTGGAGCTGCAGCTGAAGGGGCCTGAAAAGAGGCTCCCGGAGGGAACTGAGCCACAAGGAATACTAAGTTGTGAGAAACTTTTCATCCGGGCAGTGGCTGGGGGAGCCTTGTCAACAGCTTAGACTAATAGTTATTTTTAAGGTTAGGACTGAGAGAAATATTTCTTTCTATACATATATGTACACACACAATATGTAAACAATTTTCCTGGCAAATCTACCTATGGGAAACATAGTTCAGCCTAGCAAGAAAACTTGTAGTGGTATTGCTTGAAGTAGTTCTCTAAACAGAGTAATCTATCCTGGCAAAAAGGCAGGTTTTGCCACTATAATTGCAACTACATTCTTTTACTGGTTTTGGCAGCCAGGCTACATCTGTTGCTATGTGCATGCTTTCATAAGCTGAACATGCAGAACTTTGCAAACAAAATGCCTCAGTGTAGATCATCTATGTGGCAGGTGAGATGGACCAGAAGTTATTCCTCCCACTATCACACAGAAGCAATACCTTTCATATTTGTCAATAAAACCTCAAACTAATAATAACCTTTAGACAACAGAAGGAACACACAGAAGGATCTGGATTATGTAACATTATATTAAATGCACATATTTAGTATATTCATGATGTGATCCACTTGGCAATCTATCCTGGGATCCTCAGCATTATTTTCAGGACTTCCTATCTCCACAGATCAAATGAAAGAATCTCATTCATCTCAAAGTCTCACTGCAGCAGAGTATGAAAACTGTGAGTCAGGAAAGAGGCAAAGAAGGTCACTTCTTTGTAAACTTAAAAAGAAAATAGTTATCTGAAGTGATGCAGATTTTATCCATCTATATTAATTCTTACTGTCTGCATGTATCAAGAGAAAGGAACTGGAACAGCCCATTTAATCAGAAATAAACACTTTGCAGGAGTTCAAGAGTTGTTTAAGGAAGCTCTGTCACTTAAAAATTCTTCAGATTTCACTCTGGGGTTTTTCTGTCCCTCTTGCAAGACATTGGCTAGATCAGCCAGTGACATGAACAAAGTACACAGTCTTCTGACATTTCCACATTCCAAAAGGTGCTTTTCATTTCAATACATGGTCTATCATCAGTAAAGCATTTTCAGATTGACAGGACTAAAAATCATGTCAGTAAAGAGACTGAATTTTAAGAACCTAAAGTACCCAGAGTATCTACTGGCAGCATCTTAAAGAAGAGTTATTGCTCAGAAGACTTGACAAAAGGTGTTTCACTGCTTGCTGTCTCATTTTGAAATACCTGTACAGCTCTTATTTCTGCAATCCAGTATAGCATCACTGCAGCAGTGTTTATACCAGCTTCCCTAGAGTTTGGTATTGCTTTTATACATAAGTCTGCATGACAACTACTTTCCAGCTGTAAGGTAAAACACACACAAATAAGGACAGCATTAGAACACTCACTTTATAAACTATTTATAAACCAAATAGCACTGTGTAGGTTTGGCTGTACTTGCCAAGGATCTATAGATACAATTCCTCAGTGTCTGCCTACTCTTGCCTACTTCTCATCTACTTTGTATCATTGAGAATTTTATTTGCTGTCAAAGTAATTTCAATTTTTATCCCCTCTTAAAAGAGAACAGCAAAACAAGAAATAATGAGATTTCTGCAACAGAAAGCTTAAAATATTTAAATGGTGCTCATCAACAGAACCCCATTTAAAGATAACAGAAACCAAATATATGTTTTCTGTAATGTTCTTATTACACAAAGCATTTTACAGAAAACATTAATAATAAATCAGAGAGGAGGATTTAAAAATTGATATTTACAGAACTAAGCAGCTCTACAGAGGCATAATAGAAAAGAAGTCTGAGAATAGTAAGACAATAAAAATGCAGTCAAGAATACAGGATAAATAAAGGACAGAGAGCACCTGAAACACAAATGAGTCAGTGGCATTTAACAAAAGAGATAAAGGAAGAAGAAAATCCACAGGAGAATAAGCGAAGAGAGAGCAAGAGAAGTCATATAAGGTGAATTACATGTGTTCAAAAAGACAAAGGGGTACTTCCTTCTCCCTCTTCTAAACAAGAAAGTCAACAGAAGAAGTGGGGATGAAGCAATGCATACAAATCTGCAGGATGATTTTCAGTCAGCATTCTGTCAATAATCAGTCATTGGCCACATCCGTGCTGCAACCGGGAATGTTACACACAGTGTGGATGCGTGAGTTAATGTGGGATAGATAAAGATGAGTTCTGGTAACAGTATAGCTGTGGCAGCACTGAGGTCAGAGCAAGTTTTACAATCTATACCTAACTAATTGTAACTTCTCCAGCTACATTACTGTTTGTTCCTGATGTAGCAACTTTACAGGCAGCCTGTTCAAGGGCAACAAAGTGCTCCCTTGGCAAGTATCTAGATATTCTTTGGAAATAAAACGGGAAGAGGAGGACATAAAGGAAAGTTAAGGATATGTAGTACAGGACCCAAAGGACCTAAAACTATCAGAACATATATCACAGAAGCATTTGGAATTAGAGGCTATGAAATAACAATGCAGTAACAGAACAATTTGAGGGAAAGGAGAGCAAGGTGTAGGCTAAATTCTGAAAGCTGTTCTGCGTAGGAGAGTTACATGTGTTGAACTTCTAAAATAAATTTTTAAATTTTTCTTTAGCACAGGGATGACAAGAACGAAAAAATGTTATACATGGAAAAGGTTGGGGGATCAGAAAACGCTAAAGGCTGCATTCTTTCACATTTGTCCTCCTCTAGATGGAGGTTTAAACAGAAAACACCTCTGTTTCTTTAACAGAAAAAATACTGGAAATGATAGGAGGAAAAAAATAGTCACAGTCTAGCAACCATTCCTCAGAAACAACCCAGTGTTCACTGCGTTGTGCCAGCACCAAGAGCATTCACCCACAGACCGAGTCAGCTAACGAGGTCCGAATGGACGAGGGGACGGGGCGCCCGGGGGAGCGGAAAGCCCGGGCC